TATCTAGGTGCATGTGTGTCTATTTGGTTAGTATGGAGGAGCATACGTAATAAAATGAAATTCAAAACACATTTCATGTCCATTCCGAAAGTAGGACTACTTTTAGTTTTGATTAGAAAAGAAGAATGGGGGTTCTGTTCATGCGTGTCCTGCACACGGCGTGTAAAAAGCAGGAAATAAAAAGTATCAGCAAAGTTCAATACTCTGAATTTCGAATAATGGCCAAGAGAATAATAATAATATTATTATTATTGCCTTGCTTATGTATTTTTATTGCTGGAATGCCAACTGTAAAATAAGTTTCACAAATTATTTAGCTTCGCCCCGATTTCTGTGTAGCTAAATAATTCCCAGCCAGCAAATAGCGTAGGTAAGCAATAGTTGAACTAAATATGTGAACGAGTGGATGCACATGCAAACTAAATGAACATTTGTAATGTTGGCTACGTATAAATAAATATTTGCACATTTGCTGTCTCGCTCTCGGATTTGCATTGCAAATAGTAGAAAAATCTAAATTTTTAGCACGACGACGTCAACTATTTAACTGACGGTTGGTGAGTGAGGTTGGATGGATGAAATGAATTAGATAGTTGGTGCTGGTTGCATGTATTTATTCTCCTACGTAATAATAATAGGACTCTTCATAGTTTTCGAGATAGACGACGACGGTACAATCTACCCTACACGACTCTACTTTACGCAATTGTTGATTGTTACTCAACTACTTTTGGCACGTAAACAGTAATTCAGTTCAAGCTTAGTTTTTATTCAAGTAATGGCTGCATGAATTGTACGGTGTTTTATTTTTCTGCTTTGCTTATTGTTCTGTTTACTCAGCCGAGTAAGTAAGCATAACTTCGTGCAGACCGTGCTTAAATTTACTTGATTTGGTCAGTTATAATAACGTCTTATATAAGACTTTTTCGCAGAATCAGGAAAATCGACGTCAAAGATTCGAGTAAATATAATGTCTCAAATATGCAAACACTTGGTTCTATCAGAATAATAATTACGGCATAAAATGTACACACACATAAAATCAAGTTGGCGAATGATAACCTTCAAGTTCGCGAATATACGCGGTCACAATGCCCCTGCTGCTTATCTTATTGCTTAATCAACAACAGATGTATAGAGCAGGATTACAAAATGCACTGCATCTGGTAAGGTTACAAGGGTCATAAACTCGTAAAAAATGCAAGCAAGGAACTATTTATTCTCCAAATGGATGATTCATCGAAAGTGATGCAAAACTATGACACGACACTTGACTGCATGTCATTCCATGCAATCCACATTGTGTCTGTCATGTCATGGGAGCAACACTTGTGCCTCTCTCGTTATGCCTTCGTTGGTGGATCTGTTGTATCGTTTTGTGATCAAATTATACCCATTTATTGTTGCCCAGCCTCGTTTCAAACGGTACGAGAGATTGTTTCATAACAACAAAATCTGCTTGATGTTGAACTATGTATGCAACTGAACTTGTGGTGTGCGTCGCATTTCACGAAACAGCAGCAGTCCAACCAACCACCACGTCGGGAGATCTGGATGAATGCCATAATGACATGTCAATGAACAGGAAAAGGGAAGAAAACAGTTTAGGCTCTCAACCACACCACCAAATTTTGCAATTGGTCTCCTTTCTTTTTTTCAGCCTGGGCAGCAAACTCCCACTCGTTGATTGATTGACAATGACCATGACCAAAAGTCAACTCCCTTCCAGGACGAATGTCACCCCACCTGGATCCCAGTCGGATACAGAATACAAATTCCGACCCAAAACCATAACTAAAATCCTACCAAAGGAAGGCAAGGTTGTGAAATTTCGTAGAGTGGTTCAAGAGACGTGTCCGTCTGTCACACGAGCATAAAGTTAAACCACGAATTGCCACATTTGGTTGGAAAATATTCCAGTCCAATATTGTAATGAAGCCCTTATAAATATATTCCATCTCTCCCGGAATAAGGAACGAACCCTTGACCCGTCGCTTAACTGTCTCATCATTACATTTTTTTTTTACCCCATTTTGTATTTTTTATGCCCACTTTCTCTCAAAAGACAATCACCTAATGGACTTTGAATTTTGCTCATGCATTTTTTTCTTACAAGACAACTTCCCAAAAATAAACTCGGGAAAGACGACACGCAACACGACGATACGGGTTACACACAGTTTATAAGATTTGCTTGTAAGTAGTTTGGCGTAGAATTGACCTTGTTCAGTTGTTTAATATAGCTCATCGCTTGCTCAAGAAAGTCATGACCACGTATGTATCCATGTCACATCACTACACTAACCATCTGCATGCATGCAACCATAAATATCCCACCTACACAGAAACGAAATGCATTAAAAAACAAGAAGATCCTTCAAAATATGCTGCCCACCAATTTTATGTTGCGGTCTGCTCTAGTCGAGCATTCTTTAGATACATACTTCTGGCTCCACGAACTATCGTTTCGGCAACAATTTGCAATTTTGTCCATGAAGATGAGTTATGTTTGTGTACAATGGAATACAGCAACGGGCATGGAGTACGTCTAAAATTAGATAAGTGATATGTATGTGTATGCTCCTTTGCCAATGCTAAATACACAACATTTACGTTGCCTTGCTTGCATATATGTATTTTGCATGGAGCTTTGTGCTATTATTTATTGTACAGCCATGCGTACGTACAAACTTTTCTCATCATCGTGAAGAGGAAGTTATAACAAAAATAGAGTTTGGCATATCGAAATGGTAATAACTTCAAATTATTATTTTGAACTAGTTTAAAACAACCAACAATGGTCTCTCTCGCTACATACATAGTTATTCATGCATGGCATATGAAAACCTCAGATTCCCATGTGTCCAATGCTTCATTGTGTCGCTAAATATTTGACAAATAGATGACAATTTTGTAACATATTTTCCAAAACGTGACTTTCACACTGCGCCAACATCATGTCTCATTAATATCGTTCCATACTACTCCATCATCCTTACGTATACATGTACCCCAGCTTAATACACACGAGGACTAATGCGAAAAAAATGAATTTTCGCAAATGCCGAGAAACAACGCATTACATTTTTTTAACGTTCGCAAATTATTCATTATTCCACTGTTCCTATCACCACATCGCATGTATGCACCAACAATGAACCAACTTCATATCACCAGAAATGTATTTTATCTTTTCTTTATCTTCTCCAGTTTGCATTTATACGCTAGGTGATCCTCCTATATCTGCCTCGTACATACATATGGACACGTTCATCCTCATCCATCCATCCCACTACTGATATGATAATAAATGTTTTTATTGTGTCGCACCAATTGGCGAACCTGTCTCATAAGCAACTCACCATTCCTATTAATTCACGTTGGCAGACCACTTGTGTGTTACTCCAACTTATTAATCATTATTCCACCATGCACATAAATATATTGTGTTGTGAGTCGCAACTTAATTCGCAGCAATCTCTTATTATTATCATTGAATTGTATATACCATGAGCGAACTTTGTCCACAATAACCAATCTACTCATTTCTCTGTGTAGTATGCATGCCGTACAGCGACGAGGATGGGATGAGGTGTCCTTGAAATTATTGCAAACAGTATTGTCGCAAACGAAATGTTAAGAGAGGTTGGGAGATTTGGAACTGGGCGAGATGATGTATGTAAATAAGAAATAGCACGTAAGAAATACAAATTAGACAGAAAACCTTTTGTAGTCCCAACCAATATTGGTCAAAGGAACTTTGTGCGTGCTAAAAGTTTGCAAATTTGGTCATATAACCGTGACGTAGTATCCACGAGATGCTGGACCAAACAATATTGACAAGTCTTTGCGAACTAATCATAACAAAGATTATCACGAAAACTCAAAGGAAAACATTATCTCGATGATTCGAGCAAGAAGATAAAGAAAAATAATTATTCGAGATAAAGTTCCTTCTCTTATCAACCCAAAAACCAGTAGACCCAACACGAAAACTATATTAGATTTAAATTTATCTGGAATCAAATTTATTATAAAAGTTAAAAAATAAAATGAATGACGCACACAGCGAGTTAAAATGAAATGAGAACATAATTGAATAAAAGAATAAAAGTTTCTTATCTTAAAAAAAGCATAATATTCCAGCCACCACTGTTCATTTCAATAGTCGAGTCAAAATATGGCTGCCTATTCATTCATGCAGCTACATATTTGTCACGGCTTACGTAAATTATTCGATATTCTATGGGCTACTGCTGCGTGGGTTTAAATTGACATTAAGAAGAAAAACTTGATATTTCATCACCACACGAAAATAAATCATCAGACTCACAAATTAAGGAAACATGTCCGGAAATTAGTGGTGGACGTGGTTAAGAAAAATGTAGGGTAGCAAATATACAAATTAAACTTACAAGTAAACCTTGTATTGAATAATTTTAACAAATTTGATGGATGGGGATAGAAGCTTTTCAAGTGTTTGTTCTTTTTATTCGAATAAATAAGAACTTTTTATTTCCATTTCGTCAACTCCTCAAAAAAAAAATATGTATCAAATCAAAACCTTAATTTCTGCTTTGACCTTCTTTGTTACATCAAAAACGACTTTGAGTCGAGTTATAAAACGAAATGAGCAAAGCCAGTCGTCTTTTTTTTACTCGTATTTCTTTTGATCCTGTGGGTTTCATGTTCCAAGAAAGCAAGTCGTTTTGTATTCCAATATTAAAAGGAAGTAATATGAGTCACTCAATTTGTTGCGAAAAAATATAGATTATTTTCAAGCTAGGATGAAAAATAAGCAATATTAATGCCAAAAATTCTATTGATGCTTTCCAGGAATGGAAGAAACAACAACATGTTTTTGCCAAAAAGAGGGCTCAAATTCGATGCTACACACTTGTAGAATAAATACACCAACTTTCTCCACATGCGAGATTTACCCGACTCAAACAGAGAGTGACAAATGAATGCATCTTAATACGCGTATGTTATGTACGTACCTTTGGTTTGTACAACCACTTCCGGATGGAATTCATCTTCGAAATCGTTTTTATGACGATGAAGGATCTCTCTCGATTTGAGCACGGTTGTCGCCTTGTTGTTTTTTATAGTTAAATCCTAATTAATCTTCACCAAGTTTATAGTCCTCGTCGTCTTTTTTAATGGATTATCAAGTATTACAACTTCTCCTTGCTCCTTGTTCACACTCATTTAAAACATTTCGACTTGATTAGCAGTTATTTCTTACGGAAAAGTACATAATTTGTTGTTGTATTTGAATAATTTCTTGGTAAAATTCTCCCGTTTCTTAATAATACTTTTTGTTTTGTAAGCTTTCAAAATGTTTTCTAAGAAGCTCGATATTTTTTAGTGGTATATTTGTTTGTAGTTTAAATTAGTTCTGAGAAGAATCTTGTATCGTTGAAGAATTGTTGTTTCTTAATACACAAAAATCTCTATAATATTTATTTAAATCTACTTAATTCTCTCTCTGGGTAGGGTAAAGTAATCTTCGTTATTTTTTTTCTGCACAACGGTAAACTTGTTATTTTTTAAATATTTTCTCGTTGTAACGGAGATTTTGTGTCCGTGTAACAACTCAAGTTTCAAAAAGTTCCAGTAAGATTCTTCATTTTTCTTTCTCCAAATCTCCTTAATTCTTTTAAGAAATAAAGATTTTTCACAGTAATAGAGCAAATAACTTTCAACAATATTTGCCAACCTTCTCTCCTTCGTCTCGTCGTTCCTCCTTCAGTTAATGTTTTTAATGTTACAACAAAGTCTGTTAGTTAATGTGGATTTGTTACGGAGGGGATATGACGACGACGACGACGATGATGCTAGTTGACGACATGGTAATGTATGTAAGTAAGTAGTCAGACGGGGCCTTGAGGGCAAGTCAGTTAGTTGCTTGGGAGGAGGAGGAGGAGGGCCACTTAACGAACTTTGCAATGCTTTTTCACAATTATTTCTCCTTCGTCTTAACGCAGAGAATTGTAATGTTTTAAGTCTGTGCTCATTTAACAAGATGAGAAGGAGCAGCTTAATAGCTTCTTAACTCGGCTCTCTCTCCTCTCATTTCTTAATGTGCATGATTCTCTTCTCTCTTACGATGAGATACTCACTCTCTCACGTACCAATAGCGATAGATTCTCGACATGAAAAACCTCCGCACTTGGTTCACAGAAATGGAATTGGATGGACCAAGGCATAGGCTGACTGTGAGTGAGTAACGTTGCGTTATTAAGACAAGTTTGGGCTAAACATTGAACGAGCTACCAGAACCACTTTTGCTTTACGGGATAGTGAAACCTTACGTTTACCAGGGGAGAGGAGATCCACAACTTTTGTTAAGAGAATTTAAGAGTGGATTTCAGATGGGAATGTTACATGTAAAAGTTAAGATGGAGAGATGATTAAAATGCTTTCACCAGTGCTTTCTCTGGTAGAACTTCCGTTAAAATGATGCAAACTGAAACGTCGTTGGGTGGGACTGGCTAGGCTAAATTTGTGGTAAATACTAATTTTGTACATAGTATGACCAAAGAAAACTGGGCGTCACGGGATGCTTGGACGCCATACTTTTGCATTAACACACTCATTCCTGTTACTCGACTCTAGCGAATGTTTCGTGAATATAAGGTTAAGTCGATGATCGTATTGTGGAGCTACAATCTGGGATGAGAACTTAAAAGCTGGTTCTACACCGTTGCGTATTGTAGAGTAGAAACCTTTTAAAACTAGTTTGGCCTGAATTGAATGGATTTTCTCTCTCTTTTATGTCGATAAGATGTTACTGCGTATTGTCATCGCTGGGGAAGCAAGCTTATCATGAAATGAAAACAGTTTGCTGCGGAGAAAGTAAAATGCGACATATAAAATGTGGTCAAAGTCATAATAATTCTGAGAAATAAATTGCACAATGGCTTTTTTCTCTACGAAATAAGATACGTATTAGTCATTCGAGTAGTTTTTCGCTAATCTGGTGCTTGCTGCACAAGTGTGAGTACTACTGCACCAAATATTGCTCTGTGTGCATATGTACATTCTGCTATGTGCATATTATGTATGTACTGCTGAACTGGACAGTTTCATAAATGTTAAACGCTTATGGTGGATAGATTAAAATTGTGGGTATTTATGATCAAATAATGGCAACTAAACAAATTGCAACACCAACTTGTCTGCTGCAGAAGGTTTTTAATTAAGGTTCACGTTCTAAGCATGGGACACGGTTATAAATACGATCAGACCTGCCAACTGTGTCTTTACTTATGTTTTTTTTAATGTTCATCCACATATTTGGTCTGAAATATGTTGCCACTGCTAATGTGTCATAACAGATGACTCATCTGTCCATAAATATTTAAGTGACATATGTGAATCTCAATTGATCATCAAATTCGTGAATTTTCCAGTCTAATCTAAAGTTCGAATGAGAAATGCTTCGATACAAACTAAACATTGTAATTAAGACCTGATTTGACAAAGTGTGTGTGTTTTGCTGCTTTCTCCCGAAATTTCTCGCGAATTGTTTTGATTTAGAATTTCTGTCTGATAATTATTTTAATTACCATGTTTGTGCACTTTCGCCACCTTTCACCAGGACGAAAATCCACCTCTTCAAATCCCACCACCAACACCCCTACACATGAGTGAACTCTTTGATGTCACGTTGTAATTAGGAGTCACATCCCACCTCTAATTTTCCGGTGTGACAATATTCTCTCCCCGCTTTCTATCCGATTTCAACAGTGGTGTGAATTCAGCTTTGTAATTTTCACCCTCCAAAATTCCAATAATTATAGATATGCGTCATGACATAAGCGTGGGTTGTTGTTTCAGAGCGTATCGATGCATTCACCTGAATCTGATGTCCACCGAGTGGAACTCTTCACGCATCAGGGGGCATTGATGTCGGTCCAGTTAACGCCATTGCCTACACAAATGGGTGCATGTCGACACAGCAGAGGAATATTCGGGGTGTTTCCACTTCCAATTACGGATGTGGCTTTCTCCTCGCTGTTGTGCAGCCAGGTTTCAAGTCTCACCCCGAAGGGAGGCGGTGATGTCAATAGGACTTGTCATAATAGTAATTCGGGGTCAATTTGATCGGACCGAGTATTATTCCCTTCTCTTCCTCTCGTAGAGAAAAAGTAGGGAGAGACTTGTATGTGGATAATGTACGCTGGATGGCTCGTACTGCGTGGGGTTATCATCCATCTGTACCAATTATCCGTTGGGTGGGTATCCTTCATTCTTTTCGTGGTCGTTGGGACTCTTCTTTCCGATGGACTTTCATGTTATAGAATTGTTAAAGGAAGAACGCCGTTTATGAATTCACCGACAAGATCGAGGAATTCATTCAAAGGGAGAAGCCAAATGTCAAATTTCTTACCATAGATCTAGGTTTTCATCTAGTGTTTGGTGCTAATTGTATGGTTTTCCTGATGATACCTTTCGTCAGCCACGGCGTCACTCATTATTATTTGTGTCCACCTTGTAATAATCCTGCGGGGAGAATCATAAGTATCTCATCCGACCAAACTAATTACTCATGCTGCCCGTTTTGCTTCCTCCATCCGAGTATATAAGGCTAATAAATGGATCGGATTCTATCATTTAAGCTCAGCACCCCTCTCGTCGACACCACAAGATAACCCACCAGCTCCCACTTTCTCCTGAGATATCACATTTCTCCCGAATTTGCTAGAACGGAAGAATCCTCGTGGTAGATTTCGAGAAACATTTCTGGGCTGCAGCAACAAATTTCTAGCCAAGTATTTCAAAAAATAGGCTAAACTCAACTTTCGGAAATTCAAGTTATCACAAAAACCCCAAGTTTTACAATTAACATCATGACGAACTTTGGAAACCAAGCATCACTCTTCGAAGATAGCAAACCAGAATTCCATGCAAATGGGTAAGCATCATTTTTTTAAACTTTGTAATCAATTTTACAATTCCAAATTCCACAGCGTTTTCTAACCGACAGACGAATAGAATTCTCCTTTTCCCAAAAGTGTCAATAGATAGTTTTCATTTGAATTTCAATTCATGGGTGGGTGCATAGCGTGATGTTGAGGTTGCACATTTTGGCAAAAATTTACTTTGGTCTGCGCTTTCAATGCATCATCCACAATTCCGTGTGGTATGTCATATTCGACTCATCCCCACGACTCGACCTATTGACAATAACTCGCATCATTCGTATCATCAATCAATTAGCACGCCATGCGAAACTACAAGCTCAATTATGAATCCTGTATAAATTTAAGACTTAAAGAAGCCGTGACTTTATCTTTCTGCGTCTCTTCGAGGTTTTTTTTTCTTCTTCTTTCATATCGCCATCAAAACCAAAGGAGAGAATTAGCTATTTGCTAATCTAATATCTTCATAATGGCAACAATCACGGCAACAATGGGTTTGGGAGGGAAGAAGTTGTGTGATTAACAATGGATGGATTTCTCTCCCTCACTCTGAAAATGTGCCATCCATCCACTTGCCACATAAGACTCATGCAAGATCATGCCACAACAATGGACTAAGTCAAATTCAAATGCAGCATTTGCATACTTTCCTTCCTTCAACTGGCACGAACGAAGCTCGACTGTAAATCGAAACCAGGGATAATTTCAATAATTGGGGTTTTTTTGTGAACAATTCAGACGAACGTGTAGGATGTGATTTCACAAAACTTTATTTCATTTGCTAAATTAGAGGCAGATTAAAAGTAATTAACGATTTGCATGAATTGCATTCATAAGTCATTCGAAAAGCTAGGTAAACTGACGTAATAAATAATTCAAATTTTGATATTGGGTAAAGGGAAGTAGTATAATTTTTCAAGTGGACACAAGCTTTTTATGGAATTTGATTATGATATAAGGCTTGAAAATACCTAGAATTTTTTATCAATTTGTTGGCTGTCTATTATTAAAAAATGAGTTTGTAGGAAATTTACTCATTTTACCTGAATTTCATGTTGTGGTTAGACTATACAGCATTTATAATTGTATTGTCGAAAAACCGTGACATTTCCATTAGCAGAAAAACCTGAATGTTAGTGACACTCCTGTCTTACTTTTTTTATGAAAAGTGAAATTGAGAGGCACTTGCATTTATCAATTATTTGAGCATTTGCAATTTTTAACACGTGAATGTATGTTTAATGTGCATAAGTAAGTTATTGATATACATATGTACTGACCAATATTTATTAAAATTAGGAAATTTCGGAAATTGCTTGGAAATTGTTACAAGTTGAATATATTTCAGTTTAACAAAGGTCAGTCGTCAGAGAGATATGCAGGATCACCATTTAAAAATTCTATGTAATGTTTAAAGTCGTTAGGAAAAAGATAAACTAAAAATCGGGGGATAAATTTCTTATTTTTCGTTAACTAGCCACTAGTTTCTAGAGATCCCAATTTAAACGGAAACTTATAGTAAAATATGACAATGTTACTCATGCACATTAAATACAACACGAAAATTCACGTTAGTCTAAATAAGCATGCACCGACGTCCAAAATCTGTTTGAGAAGGCTGGTAGCTGGTGAACAATTGCAAAAATCGAGTCTAAAAAATTAATGGCAAATTGTTACTTTTCACAAATTATTGCTTAACTCGAGTAAAATTTAGCTGCTAAATAAGTGTAAAATCCTGTATTGAAATTCCTGGTTAAATTTAACTCCGCTACAGGCTTATATTTGTATTCCACTTTTAGCCATAATATTTAGCAAGACCTTGCAACGCATTAATTTCCACAGATCCAAATTTTCTTATAAAACCATCATATCATAAAATCCTGATGGTAAAGAGTGACGGCCAGATATCAGTACAGCGTCTTTCTGGCAAGTCAGACAAGATTTGAAACGCCCTTGAATTCGATTCGAGATTGAGGAATGTGAGATTATCACATTTCTTGTAAATGGGTGACACCATACTCGCGACTTTTTTTTTTACTAGTGCATGTCCAACTCTGAATATCGGCCTGAGTGAGACTCGATGTTGCATTACATTTCCTCCTCGTCGTATGTGTCACACATACTTATGCAGACATTAATTTGCCAAATTATATAGATTGCAAATTAAATTGCGTTGACATATTAAATTACATTCTCTCTCCTCAGCCAACATTTATCCTTGATTTAGAATTTCATTGTCATTCGTGTGTAAGTCGGAGTGAAGCAATAATGGTCATGATGCCAACTAATCTGCTTATCTTACATTATGCCACAGTCCTCTCACATTCTTCTCGCGACTTAATATCAAGTTTATTTACATAATCTGTCAGCTTAGTTGGAAAATATTACAACAGGTCTGAAATGGCAACTGACACAACAGGTGATGTCACCCCAGCACCACCACTAAATTAATACGCCATCCATAACACCTTGCATTTGTCCAAAGAACCAATCAAATTGCAATTTTTAATGGAAGTCAATTGGTTGATTTTCACAGGAAAAAGTGCAGAAAACCGAAGGAAGCCTGGGCCCGCTGGGGTCTCTTGCTCCTGGTGGGTGCCACCCTTCTGGCGACTGCAGAAGCCCAAACTTTCCAATACAGTCGGGGGTGGACTAATGGGAAACGGAGTGGCGGTTACGGGGTTGGAGGACCATACGACCTCGGAACGGGGGAAGGAATGCTAGGAGTCGACCCACTCGAGGTCATAATTCCCCCCGGCCACCTTCAAATGAGTCTTAACCCCCAATCCAGATACCGAGCGGGAGAGTACACTCAGGTGAGTGAGACATCAATATCGCTATTAATCGATCCCAAAAAAGCAGCCCAGTTACTTTATCAGACACATTCCATCATGTCACTCCCGACTTAGTGATCAAAATGTTTTCACCTTTTTGTCTACGAGGCCGTCTTGGAGGATTGAAGGGAGGTGTGTGAGTTGAAGGACCACCGGGATGGATCTTCGGGGTGGTTTTTCATCTTTTAAGGCACCCTCTCCATCCATATACCTGTCCACTTTCTTACTCCTTTTACCTACCCTGTCATTAGTACGAGGCTCGCTCAATCCCCTCCTGATTTCGGGATGACTTACTTACGCCATGCTCCGTTTAGACATTGTTCGACTCGTACTGGTAGATTATGACCTCACAAAGAATGAATATGAATATGCAGGAAAGAGTGGGTTCTTACATGAATTCCGTAATATTCAAAAGCCTGTTGGGATGATCAAGCCCATTTATTTTAGACGGTAGACACAAGGACTCCATATCCATGTCTTGTTCTGATCAGATTTCCCATTAAACTCTTTATGTCCTGGTATCTCTGTAATGTTTCACTCCACGTCGTAATCTCGAATCAGTAAAGTAAACGACATTCCATTCCTTCGAGACATTGTTTGTGGGCAAGGTGGATGCTGCGAAAGTCGTAAAAAAAAGTATTTAAACTCCACGAGAATTGGTGACACGAAGGATACTTTTTTTCCATCCCTGTGACCAATCTCATCTCTTTTGTGAGTTGTTGACATGCATCATTATGCGGATGTTTGTTTTTTTCTCCGCACAAAAAGTGGTAAAACTGTACCTTCTTTTTCTTTTCTGCTTGTTGCAGTACCTCGTGAAACGATCCGCAACTTTGGGTAATACGAAGAATAAGCCCATGTGGATCGGGACCATTGTGGGAATGGACACGGGTGTGGATGGCGCAGGAGGATCTTCAATAACGTCGCCAAATGCGAAACCAGTCGTCGGCGAATCAGTGACATCAGCCAACCAACGGCAGAGGAGTGGTTCTGCTCCATCCGACTTTTAAGAGAAAATTATTCACCTGCTTTTGGAAATATTCTGAACACTACTTATTATTATGAATGTTTTGCTCTGGTGTCGTAACGCGTCTCATTAATTAACCACAAGGCCCTGGCAGTCTGTAATTTTTGATGTTGATATGACATAGAATTAGAATTCTGTACAATGTTTGAATTATTTCGAACCAGCAGAAAATGTACCCCAAATGAAGCAGAAGATCTTCTCCTGTCTCACGTTTGCCACTGGTATTTTAAAGTCCTAAACAACAGTTCCCTTGCACTGTACTCATGCTATCTCTTTCGAGTCTTGTTGGTAGTCGTAATTAAAACGTAAACACATTATTATGTACCTGTAAATTAATTAATTAATTAAATTACTGTCACTATCCGTCATCATAAATAATCGCGCACGACGATGTAGCTCCCTGATCACAATCTGTCCATCTCACCCACTCATTCACGCCTTGATCCAGTTCTTCGTGCTTTACTTTTCCCAGAATAATAAGAATTGAGGCTAAAACTTGTCAAATTTTAATTCTAATGTATTGCATGCAAATACCAGAGTAGTTTGTAGATTAAGGATTTTAAAATAAACGTCAGGCTGACAAGCTTCCACTTCTTGAGCGTTCTTTCTTCTTCTTAATCCTTAGCATAGTTTAGCTCAAGGTCCAACCCCACGAAATGGTGGGTTGAATTACACTAAATGCTATTGGACTTGTTAAAATGTAAAACCATAAGGCAAGCAAATCGTCTCTCGTAATATTTCTGCTCGTCTAAGATGTCTGCAAATGTCGACTTCTTATGTTTCATCTTTTACGCAATCCAAATGCATGTGCACTTTATGTAATGTTCTATACAGGAATATTGAATAATAAAATGAATGGACTTTCTGATTCGTGGAATAGTTTTAGTCAAAACTTTGCAAATCTGTCGTGCACTTGAATCCGATCATTCTAATAATTTCGTAAATGTGAAAATAAAATCAATATTGAAAATGACATGGGTTTTTTGTGATTTATTTTAGCTGTAAACAAAAAGCCCCAAGATGCATAAGTTTAGGTTCTTCATTGTCACGCCTTATTACCTCGTGAAATAAGACATGAACAAATTAAAGCTTCAATTTAGACGTATTATCCCATCACTGCAAGTATTTCGTTAAATCTGCTCTACGTGCGTGTGGTTCTTGTGAGTTATTTCGAGAAAATAAGTTGAAATGGAGACCATTATTCATTTTCTTGTACTTATTCTTGCCATCAAAGAAATTTGCACATTCAACCACAGCATAACTCCTCCGGTTGTGGAGTAATGACAAAAATGGACCAATTTGTAATAGGGAGTTGTTGTTGGTGTGATTCAATCGAGTTAGTGGAGCGTGTAGCCATTCACAAATTTTGTTTACTTACAAAATTCATTTGAAATTAGTTTTAAATTTCCGTGGTTGGAATTAAACGTGTTTAGTAACTAAATTTGAGTTTCAATAATACATTTTTTGAATTACAAATTCATATTTAGGTGAATGAAAATTGACATCGTAATAAATATGTATTCAAAGAGTATAAATACGGTTTCAATGCAGTTTCACTTTACGTTACAGACATTTTTGGCGGAAATTACTGCAGTTTTAACTTCTTTTACGGTCTTTTGAAAGATGCATACAAATGATAATAAAGAGTCGAAAATAAACCACCATTATTGTACTTAAGTATTAGGCTGATGATTGAGTTGTATGATTTTTTTGTTGGAGGACACATCGCAAATACATCAATCATATCGTCATATGAAATAAGATGCAACGCGTATAAGACAAGGCGGAAATAAGTACGTATGCATATTTATTTAAGAAGTGACAGCAGCGAATGATCGAAAATCATGGCTCCAGATAAAAAGTTCCATGTAACTTTCTTACATTCTACTTACATAAAACAATTGAAAGCTGTAACTACTTTTAGTTTGTTAGCTAATGTTAACTACATTTCAGTTTTTCACAAATATTTATTACGCTACATGTTTACACTTTACATTCCAAATTTATTACAAATTAAAAAATTATGGCAATGCTATACAATTTAATTTGTAAGTAAGAATGAATCACCATCGTCATTCCTGAAATTTCTGATGGAGAGAATTTGTATCATGACAATTTTTGGGAATGCTATATATAAATTCGAATACTCAGAATACATCAAAGTTATTTTGAAGACTTGTGTAATTATGACCAAACTAAATTGATAATGAATTTAAAGTTTAAAGTTTTAAAATGTTTAATTAACTACTAAATATATCATGGCCTTTAAAATCGATGTTCAATTTTATGTTATATAATTTGATTATCAAATTTACAATTCAAATTTCAACAAATTAAACTCAACTTCTTTTAATATCTGCGGTCTCAGTTTAACATTGTGGCTACCATGCACCCATGTTTGCCAACTGCACACATTCCCATGCAGTTTACTTTTGCACCTCGTGTGACTGTTTAAACACTACACGATAGCACATACTTATCGTTTTTGAACCTTCATTATGTGCTATCTCATCTGCTGACCGTGGTGGGAAGTAACATGGGAGGAATTATTAAACGGCCAAAAAGTGAGATAGCACATAATGCAGGTTCAACGAGGATATGTGTATGTGCCACCACGACGAAAAATATTTACCTTTAAACTCGACATGTTCACATTCAGACTAAAATATTCAAGCAACGCAATCCAACGCAGAATTGAGGCATGAATGGAAAAATAAACACGTAAGAAAAAGAAATGGATTAATAGCCACTTGCGAAACTACACTAAATTTCCATTATGACACTCAATCAATCTCTTATTCACACTGTCCATTGCTACGTAGTCCTCCTTTTCAAAAGTCGTGTGTGTGCATTATAAATACGAGTGTACCATAAATACGTATGAATATCACGCCATCAGCAGCGGTGGGATATTAATACCTCGTATGTGTTTGTTTGTGCAATAATTGAATAAAAGATAAATGTCTTTGAGATGTGATTCTGGATTAGAATGAAATTTTTCGTGATAAGGATGAGAATTTATTATTCAGTTATTCTCCTCTCTCACTGACTCTAACCTAGTTTGAAATTTAGTCGCATTTTTATTATGCAGAATATGTAATCAATATTATTTAAATACTTTTCTGAAACACGGCACCTCTTCCTGCATTCATAGAGATTCATAGCTCAACCGTATTTTATTACCAAAATGGGATTGTGTAACTTTGAATTTGTAAATGCACATTGCCGTCCAAGGTCTAATTAGGTCTATGAAGTATTTAATATTTAGGGGAATTGGACTCATAATTTTCTTACATGTTGTTATCAATTTGTTGAGCACTTTATGGGAACGGTGATTTCCTACTCGATTTGCTCGCCAAGATGATGCGTGTACTTGAAAATTATCCTGTTTTTCATCCATATTGTGCTCTTAGCCTTATTAATTTCTTCAAACTTTCTTGCACATTGCTCATTTCCCAATCACCAAAAGCCTTGGATAGATCTTGTATATAAATATACCTTTAAATTTAAATTTCGTAAATGGCTTAACCTAAACGGACATCTACGGACTTAACGCCTTTCTTCCTTGTTTCGATAACTCTCTCATTAAGAAATGGATCTGCAATTAAATCTTAGCAAAAGTAAGGTGCAGTAGCAATGAAACTAATTGTTATTACACGACTCCTCTCTGTATTGATTGTGATCATTGTGCCATTGTCATTAACTTACAGGTATGTAGGCAGATAATGTCGCCATACCTTTGTAAAAGTTGCTAGTGTTTGCAAAGTACATATTTATTTTCACCTGCCTCGCCGTAATGTAGTGAAATTAACTCATTTGTCAATATTTTCCTAAGCGTTTGTATGTACGCACACAGAAGCACTTTTAGACGAAGAAGGCCCGTAAATCAAGTTGCAGCGACTCTTCTGCCAATAAGTGCACTTCATAGTCGCGAAAATACCTTGCCTATGTCCACAAATTAATTGATCACCAATTATTGATTTGGTTGCTTTTGTTCGCTTTGTTAAAATCTGAATATTCAATTGAAAGATGTTCTGGCATCGAGTGAGTGAGGATTCACCTACCAATTTGTATGCCGCTGTTAATTACTCGTCTTGCACATGAATGCTTACTTATATTTACGTGTCGTGGGTAGGTAACAGTGTTTGCTTTATTGTACTTGATGCATTAAATGGCGATTTTGCAATAAAAATTGATTATTTATCCATTTACTAAAGTGAAATGTAAATGCTAATCTACCGTTAACTCAACATTCCATTAAGATTAATATAATATTCAAGTAATTCATGTTCTTTAATCTCAACGACTGCACACACTGTTGGTTGGTTTGCATTGTGACACACACACTGCACATGCACCAATCCCTGTAAAACTATTATAATTAATTCATTACTTTTATTCGATGAACTGATTGAAGTGTGACGTCTTCGATTAGTATTCTAATCCGAGTCACTGTGTACACGTCAAAAATCCACTCCACTTCAAATCAACCAGACATTACGCATTTTTTGTATTGTGCAACAAAACCGTTGTGCATTTTGAGTTAATGAAAATCATCAGCATACAATCCGCTTGACGACAATTCCACATTTTTCTACCAATTTAAGAACATCTCTTCCAAATTGAAAAATTTATCGTCACCAAATTAAGCCTTATTACAAATTACCACCGCTTTCACTCCGAAATGACATTGTTTTATTGTTTTTGTTGGTACACACACATGTACATGTACAAACACACTCGAGTATTGTGCATCCATCCAACCGTACTGATTACAACTAATCAATAACTAACGATTACATTGGTTTCGTGTTATTATGCACGCCTTCTTAGCAATGCTGCTCATAGACAATAATATGGACATCAATACTGCATAAAGTTTCCTAATATGCACCTGTCCCTTGTTTGCCCCTGCCTCCTGCAATCACGTCCGTCTTCCTCCACTCCTCCTTTACAGCAATTTTTGAGTGAGATATCTGATACCAAATTGTTGATTGCTTTTCAATCTCTCGTCGTCGCTACCTTGGCGTAAATGTAAAATATTTATTGGGTAGGCATGATCAGAATGGAATAAATAATACGTCTCATCCATCATTTGATCCCTACTTACGTATGTATCTCTTCTCTTTCATAGAAGAACTTTCTTTGCGGATTTATCATCAGAGTGCGGATGATGACATCCGTCGCACTTTTGCGAATGTGTGTGTCATATATTTACGCGTCCCATGGAAAGATGCGATAATAATGGGTTGATGAATAAGAATTGCAGCAAGTGTGAAGCACCCCAACCGCACTTGTCGAATCGCCATACAAACACAAGCCCCCGTTTTGTCTCCTTTTTTTATCTCTTGTAACTCGAGAAGACAGGAATTTGTTGTGTGCAATTCATCAGTGATCATCACATGTGCTTATTAAACGGTAAAGTGTACGATACGTACGAGTAGTGTGACACTAGTTAGCTCTCAGTTGTTTGGATTTGATCACTGTGAATTATGGGCAGTCAGACCGACACAAGCTATAAATTTTCAGTCATAACACACGTTTCATTGTACTTGTTCAATTGTATTGTACGGTATAAATAAATAAATGGATAGTTTGTGGGAATGTGAAAGTTGTCTTCGCATAGGAGCTTTGCGTCGGGATATGATATGTCTTACGTACGTATATAGTTAATGAGTGGTTAGTTAATGGTGTGTGTTATAGACACCCATGTCCACATGTATGTAAGCTAGGAAGCTTGTCTTTGTATTTATTACAGGAATAGAGACGTGACAAATACTAATAAAATGCAAAAAGTCGTAATTAATAATTCTTGTGGGCGAATTAAGTACTTGTGCATTGCATATTTCGTAGCAGAAATGTTCTAATGTCGAGATGAAGATGACTTATTTTCTAAACTGACGTATTCATTTCGTCCTTTGATTTCTAATAATTTATTTAATCAAGCCGTGTATGTACATGTCTTTCTTGTGGGGTTGACATTTAGATACAGCTCGACTCCACTTGCACAAAGTAATCACTCGTGTTAATTAATACGCAATGACTGTGAGCCAACAGGTAATTGTTGCAAGCAATAATTTTAATAATGAGTGAGCCCAAGACAATACAGAGGAGTAGATGATGAGCTGATTATTACTCTTGCTGGTTGAATTACGACATTATTCAAGCAATCTAACAATAATTCTCGCAATAATTAAATCCATCTTGTCTTGCTGAATGAATACGGTCAAATTATTTTTAATATTGTGTGAGCCACATTGAAAGCTATTGCTCAAAAGGGTGTCTCCCATTTCGTTTCGTGGCTTTGCTATTACATTTCCAGCCAGCACAGAAGCCGTTCTGATTGCGGGACTGATTCACCAGAAGAAGTGACCCAAATATCTGGCTGTCTGTGGATTACTAAACCACGAACTGTAATACATACTTACCAACATTTGGGCCGTTTCTTCTTATCTTAATCGTGAAGAGAACCTTTTCTCAAGTCCAAACTCCTCGCAGTTTCATTACCGAGGGGAAAAGATGCACTCATTCGACGACCAATAGAAACCAATATTTCCCGATAATGCCCAAGTCAACAGATATGTAACGTCGTCACAAAAGAGAAAAATCGAGGAAAGTAAAAGGTAAACCTTTCGTAAGGACAGAAATATACCAAGTCAAACATGTTACTAAACCCTATTCTCTTCATCTTTTCATGCGCTTTGTTACCGGCTCCTTTCAGCAACTTTATTGAATTTGAGGCAATTACAGTGTGACCGTGTTTGCCAGGATCATCTGCACCACGGAAGCTGGAAAAGATGCATCCAATCTCAAAATGTGTTAAAAAACTGCCCTCCTGTTAAAAACCATTTCCACTCTGATATCATTCTGACTTACAAGTTACGTCGTTCGTTGCACACATTCTTTGTGTACCTCGCTTACTTGGCTAAAAGCAAAAGTAGGTAAATTTATGGGCTAATGTTTCAGGCATGCAGACAACGGCACAGCCAGTAGCAATGGTTTCTCACTCATCGTCTCTTTCAAAGGAACGACGAATATGCATTGCATTTATTTCCGTTGATTGTTTTGCAGAAGAAGAAGAAGAAGGAGCCATAGCAAGCAACAGGTAGTCGTCGTAAGTTCATAGAGTCGAGATACGCGGCTGGTAGCCCCATTTATTTACTCCTCTGTACAATGAACATTAGCATAAACTTACTGCTCTCTGTACAACAGGTAAGATGCAAGATGCGATATGCAAGCACTGCATTTCAGCCACCTCACCTGAGAGACAAGTCTCAAAGAAATGGAAAGGCAAGAGCACAATACACAGGTTGGTTGGTTTGTGGTGGCTACAACTTTTGCTTTACGTGGTGCTGAGGAGGGGAGCTTGCGAGGTTGATAATAACAGATCTCGATGCCCTTTGGATATGTGGTAGGGTCCTATGAGTGTACTAAAACCCTGAAGTGGTTTGACTCCATGGCCACATTTGCGCCCGCCACACCCACTCAAAAATGCTCAAAAAACGCTTTCACTCCAGTTTTCACTCACTCAAATCCACGCCAGAAATCCAATTTTACTCGGATTTTGAAATTTCTTTCACCATTATGCTCCCAGATAGTTGCTTTCTTCAATCCAATATCAAACTCAATTTTGCTGATGATTATTTCGCAGGCGTAATTTGAGTTGTTTATTACTACAACAATCCTCATTCAGAATTTCAAATTTTAAAAATACTAAAAATTTCGAAAAAATTGGGTTTGATATTGGATTGAAGAAAGCAACTATCTGGGAGTGTAATGATGAAAGAAATTTCAAAATCCGAGTAAAATTGGATTTTTGACGTGGATTTGAGTGAGTGAAAACTGGAGTGAAAGCGTTTTTTGAGCATTTTTGAGTGGGTGTGGCGGGCGCAAATGTGGCCATGGAGTCAAACCACTTCAGGGTTTTAGTACACTCATAGGACCCTACCACATATCCAAAGGGCATCAAGATCTGTTATTATCAACCTCGCAAGCTCCCCTCCTGAGTAAAAGGGATCTTCCTGATGCCTTCCTTCAAGTTGAAGTACAGTTCTTGTTGGTTTATTATTATTGTGGATGATGATGCTCTTATCCCAGTCAGTCCACATTTCGCCTTCGTCGAGGAAGCCGCCGTGTGCATCAAGTTGTAACGTCCCAAAGCAAACCAGGTCACACGATCGAAGCAACCGTGCAGTGAGTGAATAGGGAAACTTGGCTTCTCGAGAATGCATCTTCATTGACACTGATTTTAGCATTTTCCCTCAAAAGAGTCCGAATTTACCAGTGAGTTTGACCTACCTGGAGTCATATCCGGAAGACAGTGACTCCATTTCAACTCGGATAAGTGCATAACAGTTCTACTAAAAAAACGTGATCATTTATTAAGACGAGACTCGAAGGATTGGTAACTCATCATCATTACTGACTGGAGTCGGACAGATGTTGGAGGAGAGATTTAGACAATCGGACCCCATAAAGGATTCAGTTTGAAGCAGTTGGGTAGCAGAAGTGGACACCTGTTCCCACATCGAACAGAGCTGAGATTTGATCTAAATATTGTTGGTTGAGAAACGAAATTATGATTGTGCTCGGATTGTGTGGCTTCACATAAATAAATGAATGGAATAATAATCTCGGGCTTCTTGGTGATGAGACGTTTCGTGAGACTGGAGAATTGGAATATGTGATTTTGTGACTGGGTTTGACAATTTTTCCTGCTTGCACGTGGATAAAGTGTGCATAAATAAGCCTTTGCTAAAAAGGCAGTGTGTATTTGTGAGCTTGTAGTTTTGCATCAAATTCTAAACCTGAATTATGGACGGGAGATTTTACAGCCTCATCATTCTGCTAGGTAATAATTAAATATTCAGTTTATTTATCATTACAATTTTAAATACTCAATCATCACATCACTAATCAGCAATAACCACGAAAAGTAATCATCACTGCATCTCATAAGTTTTTTTCTAGAAATTGGTTTTAAGTTGGGGTTTCGTCCTGGTGAGATTGTGTGGCGAGGAGATAATAATGTGTTTACTTACATGTTGGAAATGTGGTCGTCGCAGCAATCACATATTTTAGTTATTCTAATTTTTTCTTGAATATTCAACGAGTATTTATTCGAAACTAATTATTCAAAAAGCTAATAAGCAGATTACAACGGTCTTCTGGTCATTGTTTGTTTGACTGCGTAGTAATTCATGAGTTATCGTCGTGCAAGTGCAACCACGGCTAAATACTTGCTTAACATTATACCTGCGATTAGAAGAATTGATTGAAACTCATGCACACCCAATTGGTCATTATGTCAGAGTGATTTATATCAGAAAGTGTTAACGACCAGTCAGTCGCAGGTGGTAAGAATAATCAGGAACTGCTCATTTCCTTGCATTAATTCATTTACTGAGAGGACGTACGTGTATTTATGTGTAACTATTAACCATGCACGTTTTTCACGTATCACTTTTGTCTCATATTTAATAATTTTAAGATAATTGCCTTCGCACCACCTTAAAACTGCATGTTTAAATTTAAAATTGGTGAAATCAAAGTCCAAGATCACGGCCGGCTACTCAAAAACTTGTAAATATTAAATTTACATATTCTGTGAAGATTAGAAATTCATTTTTCCCCATTTCTAAATAACTTTGTACGACGTTCCACTCCATTGAATCGAGCTGCTCGTTCGTAAAAATATTCTCTTTGAAATGAATAAGTTATTCACTCTTTTGTGTAAAAATGTTGAATAAAATTCGTGATTTATTGGCATCTCTTCTTTTAAAATTCAAAGTCGATTCAAAAATCTACTTTATATAATGAAAGGGTTTGATGTAGGAAGAAGCTTTACGTCACTTGTTCTGCTCCTCTTGCCATTTTTTGTATTTCAAAATTCTGATTCTCATGTCAAAATTAGTTTAAGGAAAATAAATCTGGTGGTGAACTTTGTAATTTAATTTAAAAACTGTCCACCGAAATTCCCGATTTCAAATCTCATTCTTGGCTGTCATGCTTCATTAGTGCGAGCGATGAGATGATACGGTACACATTTTATTAGATTTCTTTTTTGTACTGAACTGAATAAACCTTTCAACTGGCACCTTCAACGTATCATAAAATGCATGCATACCTGGACCCACTGACCACAAAATCTCATCTCAGCAAGTAAATTGTTGAGCATAACTTTAAATCAAAATGAATACGAGCACGTCTAAAACATGTCTTTGAAATGGACCACATCCGAATCTCATTAAGTTTTTTTTTCAACACAACAACCAAACAAATTGCTCCAGTTTTTAATTTCCACTTCTCAACCCACAATTTACCTGATGCAGGATGAAAGAACACCCAACCACCGCCGCGGCTGACTTGCACCCACCTTTTACACGGCTCTGCATACTAATGACGAACTTTGGTTTGTAATTGCACTAATCACGCAAAAGTAACTGTAGCATTGTATGAATACGTATCATGCGTTTTGTTTTGTTGTTACGCATAATCCAAGTTGCCAGATTTGAAGGCATTGTGTAAGAATTAATATAAACACGGCTCAAGAAATGGAAATCAGGACCGGAAACTTATTTAGGCGTCGTTTGTGTACATATATCCTTTGTCCCATAATTGGAATCGAATTGGCGTCAATAACATTTTTTTAACCTGCGCATTTTATATTCTTGTGGATTTTTCGCGAATTAAGTTAAGTTACCACAGGTCATCAATGTGTTAGCGGTTGAGAAAACAATGACATTTTCTACAAATACAAGACCAAAGTCAGGAAGCAGATCACGCATGAAATTCGTTGCACCATTGTTAATTCCAAACATTGTTTTTTTGTGGTGGAATTAACGAATCCAGTTTTAGAAATGGTGGGGCCAGATTTAGACAAATGTGACGCATAGCAAGAACATAAGTAAGTAAAAAAAACCCAAGGTTGATAAATTCGAAATAAATATAATTCTGATTGACACTGACACTAAAAAATGGCCCAAAGATGTAAGAATAATGAAATGAGTGAAATTCGTTGACCATTTATTCTTGAAATGAAATAAGTACGTATGCATTACAAAGAAAAATAAATAGGTAGATGCATTTTTGTCACAATGTAAAACTGGGACGCAGCCTGTTATTCACTAAAAATTCGTTTGGCGTATTTAGTCATTTATTTATTTTGTTTGCAGCCTCCTCTCAATTCTGAACAATACGATTTGCATTAAACACAGAGTGAAAATCGCATTTAATTTTCACGGCGATTTTTTCCCTCTTTTATTGGCCGTTGTTTTCCATTGTTTTCATTCCGTAGGATAATTTACGGTATTTTTATTTTATATGGAAAGTGAAACTGATGACTGTGCGATCAGAGGAATTATATCAGCAAATTATATCCGCAAATAATTGCATGTCCCTAATCGTGGTTTAATTTAGTCGTCGTACAGCTACTGCCAGTTTTTTACTGCAAGGTTTTTACTTGGTTAACGAGGACTGAAAAATGTCTCTCTCTTTCCTAATGTTTTTGACAATTTTAATTTACGCATTCCAAGTAAATGTCACTAAAATAGGGCGAAGTACAAATCAAAAAGAGGGACAGACACAAAGTCACTTAAATTTTTACAAGCGGTAGAAAAGTTTGAGAAAATGGCATTATTTCAGCTCTGTTTCTTTCAGGAAGATGAATCCAAAACTTTATCTAGTTTGCAGAGACAAATGACATTTTAACTGCAAATCATTACTCATTTCACTATCGAAGCATTGCAATTTCGTGGTAATTTATAAACCGCTCTTCATCCTTTACTACTTGCATGAATCAGATCAAACGGTACCCGACGTTACACATTCATTTCTACTTGACGTGCCGCACTGTAAAGATTTGCATATAATAAATTGTCCAAAAACAAATTTTAGTGATGATTTTATTGCAAATTAGTGTATACAACAAGTGGAATTAGCTCAATTAAATTAACTGGCTGCAACAAGCGTGAAACTATTTGACTTTGTCGAAGGAAAACATTGTCTCCTTCGGCCATGTCGCAATTCTTAATTCTTTCTACTCCTTAAGTTTTTCGCATTTGAATCCATACGATATGTTATCATAATTCCTCTCTTCTCATGTGTGGATTGGTTGTTGACTTGGTGTTGTTCTATGCTTTGGTGAGAAATTGTTGCAGCTCTAGTAACGATTTGGTGCAAGTTTACTGCGTACCCCACACGCAAAATTCACACATTTATGTATTAAGAGATTTTGCAATAATCAAGTACAGGTCACACATTTCATTCTCATTTTTCCCAGTGTAGTGCTTTTGCTTGACGTTTGAAGCATGGGGGATTGACTGGTATATGTAAAATTATACGACGACACTCCTCCAACTTTTATGCAGATATTTACTTCTTACCTCTCGACTTGCCTTATTTTGCGAGTGCGATCGCTCAATTTATTCAATTAAGGGTAACGTGGATGGAAATGCATTAATGCATAAATTTAGCAAACATATTTAGCAAATTGTTATGTAATCTTGAACGTAAATGTGTTTACTTATTGTTGACCTGACGATGATACAATACGTGCAACGAGGAAGGATTTACTGATGCAAGTGATCAAGGCGATATTTCCACTCTGATACAGACATTCGACAAAAACCGTCAATCTGATTATTTAGTAAGCTGCACTCGACTCGATGGAAATGTGTTGTGCAAGTCGTACGTATTTATTTGCTATGTATTAATGCCTGACAGCAATAACTGGCAAAATATTCACTTATAAATTACCCCTCTCAAATAAGTAATTAAATAATACTAATGATAATATTTGCCTTTCGTGACGTGCAAAACGGAAGGTTGGACTTTTTATACGTAAAATAACTTTGGTTGGTTGAAGGAATTTCTCAAAAACGTAGAGTGGAATGGAAACGCACAATTTATCAAGCATGTGAACGAAACGTCTAAAAGATGCGTTTTTGCTCCAATCTACAAACAAGAGTTTATTAGAAGTGACTAAAAAATTAGTTGCTAACCTGTTTTCCAAAGACAGCAACTAATTGGCTAATCTGTCAGAGTTTCATGGAAGGCTGCATTTTCGGCGATGCTTAATTTGAGCTCAATTTGTTAATTTATATTGAAAATTATTAACCCTCCTATTTTCCTTCTATGGAATTCAAAGTATAGCAAATTCAGACTAATGGGATGCTCCACACTCCATTACGAAATGTTCCACGAGGCGTCCAGTTGTAGCGTGTGTGAGTGCAATTGCAGTGGTCAAAGCTTGCTCGACTGGAGAAATCCTGATGGTTCAAAATTAATCGAAATTTCCAAATGTGGAAATATGCACTTTTTGTATATTTATTTGGTCAGGGTGGGAGTTCAATTCCGAGAATGGAATAATCCCCAGCGCAACTTTTGCTTGCTTACCTTAATCTCTTTACAAGGGATTTGGTTCCTCTTAGGTACTCAAAACGAATGAAAATTATTAGCTCTCGTACACACGTTAGTTTCAGCCATGAAGTGGATAAGCCGAGTAATAACATGACACCTTTTTCAAAAGGATTATTAGAGGGGCGAGTTCTGTTGTCAAACTTTGCATGCTAATTTCAATACTTTATTCTTTACTTTTGTGAAAAATTAGTGTTATTGAATGGGTTCTGCCTATTGTGCTGTTTTCTGAAGGTGTTGCTGCGACAAGTATTATTGTTATTTGTAAATAGATATTTGCTCATTTGGAAATTGCAGGAGAGAGATTCATTAAATTTATTGCATGTAATGCTCAACCTGCATTTTGCCATTAGGCTGAGAAACACTGGGGCTGTATTATTTGAGGCAGGCGGTGAATCGTTACGTTAATTTCTTCTTCGAATACTTATCAAATAA